ACCTTTGATACTTCCAAACACATTTTGGAATCAACTTGCCCCCCCAGAAACTGTTTTAACCTTACAGTTCTGATAGGGATTGCATTGAATCTGTCATTCAATTTCAATTTCAACTGACATCTTTACATTGTGAGTCTTCTATTTAATGACCACTTGGCATAACCCTTTATTCAGTTATCGTTCTATAAAGTTTTATAATTTTCTCTGTAGAGATTTTCACCTCTAGATGGTTAGATTTACTGTCACAACTTTACATTTTTTTATCGCAATTGTGCTATTGTTAATATTTAAAAATTTTATTTCTAACATGCAGTATTTACAATTTTTTTATGGAAGTCTTCTATTTTTTGTATGCTAACAGTTTTTCTCAAAAGTAAATTTTATTACCTTTTCTCCCTTATTGTATTTTCATTGTAAATTTTATGGATATTAAACCAGCCTTGAACTCTATGGATAACTGTAACTTGATCCTAATGTAGTATCTTTTTTATACATCTTGGATTTTGTTTTTATTTAGATGTTCGCATCAGTGTTCATGATTAAGGTTGATCTGTAATTTTCCTTTTCTTATCTTATGTTGGATTTAGTATCAAAGTTTTGTTAGCCTTATACAATGAGCTGAAGTAGTTTCTTCTTTTCAATTTTTTATAAGAGATTTAATGTTGGAAATACTCCTTCCTTACATGATTGCAAGGACTTAACAGTGAAGCTGTTTGGGCCTAGAGTGTTCCATATGGGAAGATTTTTGACTATTCAATTTCTTTAGTGGTTAAAAATCAATGCAGGTTTTCCATGTCTTACATCAGTTTAGTAATTTATATTTTTCTAGGAATTTACCCATTTTGTTTAGATTTTCAAGTTCTCAACAAATTAATTCATAATAGTTTCTTTTCAATGTCTGAAGATAGTAGTGACATTTGTTTTTCATTTGTGATGTTACCTTCTCTGTTTTGAGGTGATTGCGTAAAAGTGGTGTAAACTACACTTATTTCTGTCAGCTAATTCTTATCTACAAAATTACTATTTATATCATAAATTTTGCAGCCACAATAACTTGTCATATTTTTATTTGACAATATAATATGTTGATCTGTAGCCAATCTTTGCATGTTAGCAATAGAACATGCAATTGGAAAGATGGAATAGGGTCATAGAAACCAAGTATGAAGAGAGTTTCGAGAAGAAAAGGAGAGCCAGTGGTATCTAGGGAAGTTCAAGGGGAGGGCAGGTTGAAAGTCTTCGATTTGACAGAAATAGGCCTTACGTAGAATGGTCCATCTCTTCGAGTTACAACCTTAAGTTAGTTTCTTAAGACACTTCTGATTTCATAGTTCATAGTCTACCAGGCATCAGAAGTAAAATTTCAGAATTCTTAGAGAAATCACAACTATATTCTTTTTTTATTTCACTGAGTTACTACTTCAATATCAAAGGTGAAATTCCCTGAGGGGAATTTGGGGAGATGATGTTTCCTTTTCATCCTGTAGATGTCATCGCCTGAATCCTGAATGTTCAGTGCTTTCGTTTTCTAAGAATTCTGAATTATGTTTTATATTAAAATCTGATTTTTTGAATGGTACTTTTAAAATTTTGCTTATTTGCAATATGCCTTTTATTAGAATTGAGGCCTTTTTTATTGAAGTCTCCTGAAAGGCAGTGCAGAAGCTCATGAAAATTTTGAAGTAAGTGCTCATGCTGCACATCTTGTGGAAATTGTATTTAAATTTAGCATTAAAGATCATTTTATCTTTGTCTTTCATTCCAGGAACTTGTGTCCCTGAAGCCTGGTAAGGCTGCAGTGCTGGTTGCCACTCACTTTTCTGAACAGACTGAAACAGTCATTAAAAAACTTCAGGTAAATTTTACAGAATATATTGGGAAGGAACATCTAGTGGGGAGAGTTTTTGAACCTGCACTTAAGAACTTTTGATTGTGATAATTTCTTCAGTTGATAGTTCCTTTTAATAGCAGTTTCTACGTGTGTGTGTGTGTGTGTGTGTGTGTATTTGGGAGCAGTTGTGGATCTGAGTCTGGACATGAGGGTGCTCATCTTTGTGCATAAGAAATACTAACATCACAGAGAAATTTTTGGAGCTATAGCCTGCACTCACCCTGGACATCGTTACCACAGAGCACCCCCCCCCCAGTACCTTCTGCTGTAGTAGCTGCAACGGTATTCATTTTTGGGTTTCACGTTATTTGTTCAGACTTCCGTCATCCTCAGAAAGGGTTAATGATAACTAGAATTTTTCTTGGAAACCCTTCCCTAGAATACAGCTGTGTTAATGGTGAGTAGTGAGAGGCCCAGGTGGAAGCAGCTAGCGTTCCCCTCGTCACCACCACGGCAGTGCTGGGAGAGAGGGCTGTGCTCGCTACCATTATGGCCACGAGTGACAGGGACACGTAGCACAACCCAGGGTCCCCACATGGCAGTCAAGTAGTAGGGGACACGTACACAAGATGGAAACCACGGCATGAGTGGGAGGCAGCTGGCATAAGGGACAGAGATACGGAGTTCATTCATTCACACAGTTGATTTTGCACTACTGTGGCCCCCCATGCACCACAGTATGGTCGGCTCTGGAGGGCACAGATAAGTGTACAGTGTTTTCTTTAACTTTTTCATGTGGAGCAGAGAAGCATTTACGTAAGCACAGTACAGTGTTAAAAGCTCTACACCAGACACGGTAAAAAAGTGCTGCAGGAACAAGAGGACAGAGGGATAGACCGTGTGAGAGAGTCAGACAGGACTTCCCAGGTATGCGTGACCTGGGCTTAAATAATTGGTGTCAGTTTCTAGGCAGAGAATTGGGAAGGGGTTCTAGATGAAGGGTCCTGGGTGTGTAGAGACTTAAAGGCACAAAGCAACACGCATATTGAGAGGATGACATTGTGGGGACGATAGTAGAAGATTCAGCTATAAATGGTATGTCAGGGGGATGAGTTAGAAGTACAGAGACTGGAAAATAGGGTTTGGGGTCTTACAGTGAACAAATTAATATGTAAAGCTAAGAAATAATATACTGAATCATCTGTATATTGGAGAATTGCTCAAGTATTTTAGGCAAGGGAACAATACCATTAGATTCATTTTATAGAAAATTAACCCTGTAGTGTGAGTATGACTTAGGGCGCCGGCACTGAATATTGTTACTGAAGATTGTTTTTCCATATCAAGTGAGAAAGAATATGATTTAGAATGTCTCTGATGTAATTAGCAATTTTACCTGGCCAAAAAGTGGTCTTGGTTTTAAGGTAACATACTTTTTACCTGTAGCCTTAATTATGGATGTGATAACATAATGTTGCTCTCTTGTCTTTTGTTTTCAGAGAAGGTCTCCATGTAAATCAAGAATTGCTGCAAATATCTCCATGTGTCACAGAGCCGTTCTCTGAGCCGTTGTGTCCATTTAGCCCCAACTGGGTTACAGAGATGCTGCCAGACCTGGAGTGCTGCGGCCTGGAAGTAACCATTCCGGTAAGACCAATGGTGTAGAGGAGGCAAGAGTCCACTTTCCTTAATCATTCACCATTGTATAAATGAGCAGAGGGAGACTCGTATATTAAATGACCTGCCTGCGTTCATACCTGGTAGGTGCTAGCACCTGAGATTAAAGCCAGACAGTCTGACTCCATGGTGCATGGGCTCCATTGCTGTGATAAAGTTCTCCATTTATTCCAGTAAAATCAGAAACAGCATGTGTCCATCATTGTTATTAATCAAGGTTCACAGGCATTCTAGTCAACTTGATAAATGTAGAAAAAGGAATACCATAAAAATGCTGAAAGGAAAAAACACGCTCTTACTTGCAGGCACTGATGTTAGATGCTCCTGTTGTGCCGGGACTTACAGGCTGAATGGCAGCTCAGGAGCCTTAGCACATGTGTTGCCTGGATCCTCTTTCCTCCTTTTCTCCTGTTTCCAAATGAAAATGAATGTGTGTTCAAATGAATGTGGGAGGGGGTCGAAGGAAGGGAAGCATCCTGGCAGGAGCTCAGGTGGGAGGCTGAAGGGGGCACCTGAAGGGCTCTGTGAAAGGCAGCAGGGTGGGTGGGGGCAGAGAGGAGGCAGTTGAATGTCAAAGTCACAGCCAGAGACCAAGATCTGACCCCACCCTCATCCCCCAAAGAACCAGTCACTCGTGCTGTCAGGAAGTAGAGATAGGAGGGTTCTCTGCACTCACATGGGCTTAGGTTGAGAGGGTGGGGCTGCAGGGAGGCTGGGGGATGGCTGGAATGAACTTTCTCCTCTGCTTCCCTGTCCTGCATCCCCTTTTGGCTGGGTTTGCATATATCCTTCCCTGAAAGATGGGGTTGGAGAGGGGTGAGGTCAGAGAGGCCCAGAGTGGGGATGATCTCTATGGCCACCATGGGGCTTGCAGGCAGGCCCGGAGCCCTGGGGGCCATGACACTGTGTCCATCCAAATGGGCACAACCGAGGCCCTTGTGGCCTGCGACCCTGGAAGGGGCAGCCCACTGCTCCCACCCACGCCTAGACTGAGGAGACTGTGCCCAGACCCCTGGCTCCCTGCTCCTGTGGACACAGTAGCAGGTGGCAAACAGACAGGTACAGAGAGCAGTTGCCTGGGAGCAAGGCCGAGGCCTGTGTCAGGGCCCCAAGCCCTGGGTGGGCGCTGCACCCAGCATGCCTGAGTCTGAGATTCCCCATGGGGCTCACAGTCCTCTCTTCTGCTTTCTCTTCCAGCCTCTGCTGGCAGCCCCAGGTCGGTGTCAGGGCCCTGGATGTTAGGAGCCATTGCTGCCCCTTCGGTCTCCTGAGCCCTCTCTTTCTCCTGCCTCTGCTCAGAGCCCCTGCACTCTGGCCCCAGCCTGGCCTGACCCCACTCACTGCCGGACCTTCGTATGTCAGGGCCTGGCCCGTTCCTGCCTGCCCAGCCTGTGAAACCCTGGCGGCCCCATGAGCTAGGATGATGGGTCAGGCAGCTGCCCTGGGTGCCCTCTGGATCTTCCTTCTGCTGCGGCTGCTGCCGGGGCTCGAGGCGCGTGTCACTGTGGAGGCAGATGTGGGGCTGAGCCGTGAACTGCGCTGCTGCAGGACAAGTTCTTGTCAGCCGCTGAGTTCCCTGCCAATGCCTTGTGCTGCTCCTGGACCCTGTGCAACCCGGACACGTGCTGCTACATGCTCTCCGTGAAGGTGGCCAAGCCAGCCAAGCCCGCATCTGCATCTACCAGGTTGACTCCTTCCTGGATTCCACGTGCACCTACCTGGGCCTGGAGAGCTTTGGTGCTGAGGCTCTGCGACCCCTCAAGCCAGCAAGCAGTTCCACCCCAGCGACAAATTCTCCATGAAACACCTGGTCATGGGCAGTCGCGACCCCAGTGACGTGGCTGATGGCCCTGAGAAGTGCCTCAGCAGTCTGATCCAGGACCGGGGCCGGGATGCGCTCCAGGTGAGTGACAGTTGGGGAGAGACCCTGGGGGCAGTACCCTGGGCAGAGGGATTGGGGAGAGGGCCTCCTCTGCAGGGTTGCCCTGGCCACCATTCCCTAAGGGCTCCCTCGGGGAAGCCAGATGCACAGAGAAATGTTCTCTGCAGGCTCACTGAGAGGACAGGGACCTGGGGTGCTTGCATGTGGCCCCCAGGGCTGGGCGTGGTGCAGCACACTGGGAGGTGCTTGCTGAATGTGCAGGGAAGGATGGGTCTGATTTCTCCCAGGATGAGGGAGTTTTTTCA